TGTGTGTGTGTGTGTGTGTGTGTGTGTGTGTGTGTGTGTGTGTGTAGGAAAAAGTGCTGTACCTTGGGGATACAGCTGTACGTTGGAACACTCCGTCATAACCGAATGGTATTCGCATCTGGCGACAGCATCTGGTGCCAATTGTTGAGTTATTTGATAATCTCTTTAAATCTGTAGTTTTGTGTTGTTGCGATTATTTACATGTAAGTTATGTCGGCTTTTGTATTTTATTATGACGTTTAAGGTACCGTGACAATATACTCAAGGTATTCTAAATCAACGTGAAAACATCCAACTATTTACGGTTACAGGCTAAAAACTTTTGGATAGTTCTGTCCCTCACGCACAGAACAAAAGACTATTCTATTATTTTTTCTTGCAGTCGCTTCTTTACGTCAAATAATCGCGAAAATCGAGATCTATTTATTATTGTATTTCTAAATCTAAACGGTCAATAATTTCGGTTTTTTTTAACTAGTATTCCTAAAGTGTCCTTCTACTATATATCCGTTTTTCATCACTTTCTTAAGATTCGTTCTAATTATTAAAATTCAAAAATGAGATTTTTGTATGCTTTGTGTATGCAATATTACATGGAAGAAAAATGCAATTTTTTATAGCGATTATCTCATGTTCTGGGCGGTCAATTACTTCTAATTTGTACAGACGTGTAGATACCATATTTATTAACATATAGTAAAATTTTCAAAATTTTCTTATGAATTGCGATTTACGGACTACCTTAAAATAAATGTTATTGAGATTTGTACTGTGATTTTTGTAATTTTTTATAATAAAGATATTGTTATCAGCCAAGGATAGTAAGAATGTGTCAAATATGTAAAATAATGTAGTAAATTATTTATAACCTCATTTCTAACCAAGATACAAAGGGAAAGAGTGTTCCAAGGTACATTAAGCCGTACATTAAAACAAAATTTCCAATTGTAAAAAAAATTGCTGTATTTTTTTACTAGATAGTAATAAAAATTTAGGTTTTTTTGGATACTAAAATATATATATATATGTACTTTAATAATATATTTTTTTCAAAAATTTTTAATTAAAACTGTGGCTCAGAAAAATTAAAAAACTTAAAAGTGTTCCGAGGGGTACAGCACCTTCTCCTATATATATGTATATACAATATATATAGAAATATATACTCCGTCCACAGTGAGAGATCATAGTTAGATCGGACGAAAACTTGTCCGTTCCGTGCAAGTTTCTGCCCACAGAACATCTATTTACGTATACGGTACGCCCCACATGCTCTAGGAATTTACCCCCACTTTGATCACCTATGCGCAGAACCAACCGTGATCTCTCATTGGACGAAGTATATATATAGAACTATTTAATATATATATATATATATATCTACTAAATATTCTCAATTACAGATAAAGAAAAATCAAATAAAAGTTATACGAAAAAATAATGTATAACAAAATAATAATAATTATAAAATATAATATAAAAATTATGTATATAAAATTGTATCTTCTCATAAATTTAATATACCTAGCAAATAAACTACGTATAAAAATTAATTGATATATATTAATTTAACATATTATAACATTTTATAATTTTTTACGACAAAACTTCTATAATTTCAATAAAAAACTATAATTAATGACTTATTAATTTCCTAATCCTTCTTATCATGTACGAAATGTAACACAATTTTGATATATCATATTAGTTTTAATAGCTACATCTATTTTCAGTATCATCTCAATATATATTATTTAATATACTATAGTCCAAGAAGTAGTAAATAATTCAATAGTGATTCATAGATATAGATAAAAGAAATATTTTACGTTTAAATAGAAATTGTTACTGCTTAAAAAAAAAAAGAGAAAATTATACAAGAACATGTATATCAATATGTGTATTAATGTAAAGGATCATTGAAATTTTTATTAGCATGAAAATTAAAGTTGCTGTTCTGTTAGGCTCGAGAAAAATACACGAAACAATACAGCAAAAAAAAAGAAAAGAATCGAAATTGATACTAACCATAATCGCCTCGTCCCATTTGTCCACGCATACCTGCACCTGTGCCCCGAGGTCCCTGTGTAGGACCACGAACTGGCATTGGTCCTCCCATCATACTCGGATGAGACGGAGATCCACTGTAAAAGGAAAAATTCTATAACGCCTTTAATTCAAATTCCAGTCAGATAAATAAAATAAAGCAATTAAAGGTGGAGTATAATGATACACAAATGCTACAAATTAATTAAAAGTAAATGTAAATATCGATAACTTACCCGCCTCTACCCTGTAACATTTGCATCATTCGTCTTTCCCTGGCGCGCAGCATCTCTTCCTTCTTCTTTTTATCGGATGGTGGTTTTGCTAACGAAACTTCTATGTGGGATCCACCCATTTCCTTACCATTTAATTCGTTCATTGCCTTAAGAAAACGCATATATTTAAAATAGACTAGAAATTGATTGTTCAATTAAGTGCAACTTGAGATATTTTTTACCTTAACAGCATTATCTCTATCTTCAAAGTGTATAAAGGCATAATCCTTGATTTTTTTCACTCGCTCAATTTTGCCATATTGTTCAAAACTTTCCTTCAGCTTCTCTTCAGAGCAATCTTGCGTCAAATTTCGTACGTAAAGCACACGTACCTGAAACAGAACGATTTTATAATAATGTGTTTAATTAATGTAAGAACTAAAGAATGGCATAATAATAACAATAATTAATTATAAATTAATCATAACACTCATTTACTTTGGACATAGTTTGTTCATCTGGTTCCTCTTGAGGATCAGCCCAATCAACAATAATATCACATCCCCAAACTTTGATACGTCCAGTGCTCAACCTTCGCTTGGCTAAGGAAGCTGCTTTGTGAGATTCGTATTCCAAAAAGCAAAAACCTCTATTCTTCTTTTTGTCATCTGGTGAGCTGTAGATGATCACCTCTGTCAGACCAGCTATATGTTAAAAAAAACCATACGAAAAGCAGGTGAGATTCACTCAAACTTAATAAGATACTCACAAAATTTTAAGAACGCTACTATATATGATAAAAAAGAAAAATAGTGTTAAAACAAAATATAAATTCAAGCAGCTATTATGATTTTATATATGATGTTTGCCGTAAAAAATTTATATTATATTTTTAAGTAAAATAATATAAATTATATTGTTCATCTTGAATATTTTACAAATATTCAAAATATTCATATAAATTATATCTTATTATAATAGTCATTTTATTATAGAAAATAATTATTATAGATTATTTTATATTATTATATTTTTAATAACTACTAATAATATGTAAAAATATTGTTATAAAAATTTATGCTGTTATGACTTTTGATTTTGTACAACAAAATATACTTCCATATCTATATTGCTTTATATGCAGCACAAAAATATTATTTAACAATAATAAAACTAAATAAAAACAAAAAAACGTATATATAATTACATTAATATGTGTCAGACGCTACATTAATCTGCAAGAATCCTAAAGCACTTGAATATACATGTCTTTGGAATATGAAAGTACTTTATCAGATTGTTTATCAAATCTTTTCTAGATATTATCATTAGCATTTGTTTATAAATTATAAATTTTATTTATTTATTTACACATTTAAAAACAAACATATTTAAAATCTAAAAAAAATCAAGCTTTAGAAAACAAATTTATCAAGTAAAATTTTATTAAAAGAATTATCCCAGGATTAAATATAAAAGAAAAAACAAAGAGACATTGCTTCACCAAATGCTCACAATCTATGTCATAATAAAATTTCAAATAAAAAACTACAGAAAATCAAGATTAAAAGAATAGAAAAAATACAGACACTATTAATAACTACAAAGAGAGAGATTGCAAGCTCTAAATTCTGTAGATCACATTTGATATATACATATGTTCTTTATCACTTTTACTAAATCTGCGGTTTTTTTTTTAATTTGAGAGGATTATTTGATTCAAAAGGCATATAAATATTATTAAGTAGAATAACTTTCATGCTATTAGAATTCTCATGCATTACAATAATTCAATTACATGTACATAAAGAGATCGACATTTTGATATTATATATTATATATCCTTCATCTCTCTGTGTCTTTTAATCCTAAGATGTAGGAATGTCATACATATCTGCCGATCTGTTTTTACTCCGATTTAACTGACAGATCTTTTCTGAAGTAGCAGTAAAAGTACTAAAAGATTGTCAAATAAGAAGCAATTTAACAATTTCCACGAGGCAACTTAATTAATCCGACATCATCTCTCTGAACTTTTATTTTTCAGAGTTATTTTTCTCTCCTTCCTCTCAGTTTAAAACTTATAGTACTTGGATAACAAGGCATCTTGTACATATCTCGAATCAAATGTAAGCAAAAAGCTGATTTTACATGTACTAAAATCATAAAGTAGAACAAAGTAATTTTTATAATTACTCATTAATTTTATTAATATGTACAGAAATCTAATTTATTTATAATAATTTATTCATTATTCATTAAATAAACCAATTCTTTAAGTTTCTTGGCTGTCAATTATACCATCTATTATATCATACAAAACATTTGGAAATAAAATGCTTAGATGCCTTGCATCGTTATATCAATTGCTCTTTTAAAGTTAATTTTTAAATCATCTCTATGTAAATTTAATAACTCAAGGCAATTTCCTTTATCATTATTTTTATATATATTAATCTCCTCTCTGTGTCCATATACTAATGTTACATGCAAGAATCCTATGCACATACATACAAAATATAATAATAATCAGACACATTCATTCAATCACACTGATCATTCTTTTCTATCATATTTACATTTATTTTATATAAAAACAATGTTTTTCTTTTCACATTTATCATCTGAAATTAAGACAAGAAGAAAACAATGTTTTTCTTTTCACATTAAATTTACTATCTGAAATTAAGAAAAGAAGAAAACAATGTTTTTCTTTTCACATTAAATTTACCATCTAAAATTAAATTTACCATCCGATATTGTCAAAAATACACAATTATTCATTCATGAAATGTGAATGTTACGTTTCTATCTTAATGCGTATACTAATATACTAATATATTATTCGTATGCTTAATATTGTGTATAAAAGATAAATGTATATTTTCCACTTCAAAACGTAAATAAATACATATAAATAAAGTAAAACCTTTAACATTTCATAATTATGTATAAATAAAAGAATCAATGAATAATACTGGCTACTATAAAATTTGCATTCCATCTTTGAATTTTGTGTCCCAAAACCAAGTACTCGTAATTTTCCAAAACTGTATAAAGTACCCCCCCTCTTTCCCCCTTTTCCCTTCCTCTCTCTCTCTCTCTCTCCCCCCCCTTCCTCTCTTTTCGACTTGCATGTTTTATGCATGATGTATGTAAGTTTCTAGTTTGTACGTAGGCACTGTAGGCACAACCGTGTAGGTACAAGCGTGTACAAAAGTTGGATAGGTGTGTGTGTGTGTGTGTGTGTGTGTGTGTGTGTGTGTGTGTGTGTGT